AGATAAAAGTAAAATATAGAACAAGAGATATCGGTGAAAGAGGAGTAAAGATTCCATTATATCAACTCCTCATTTGAGTACAAGGAAGAGATATATATAATACATTTGTAACGGAAAGCAGTAAATGATAGATATAAATATGAGCGTTACAACTGTTACAAAAGCTACTCATAATGTCCACATTATTCATAAATACTTTATAACAGATATGTTGAAATAATAGAAAAGCTATAAATACGACTAAAAATATCGTATATAAAAAAATTTCAACAATTTGTAATATCTTAAACAATTTGTTATTTATTAGTGTTGTTCATTTATTTTTATTTTCAATATTTCCATTCGTATTTTAATATTACTATTATATTGTAATATTATGTGGTCAATCTTAATAACCGTGCATCGCACGGATTCAAATACTAGTTTGATAAACGGAGGGACATATTGAATAAGGAAGGCGAGGGGTTTTACTGTTGCCTTCTCACCGGAGAAGACAACCCATATAGAAGGCTACTTGGGTCGCCTTCTCACAACAACCCAGATAGAAGACTACCTGGGTCGCCTTCTCCGGTGAGAAAGCGACTCACTGAGCTGCCTTCTCATCGGATAGGGCGAGGGGTTTTACTATTTTTTAATTAATATTTCAATTGTTTAATAAAAATAAAGGAAAATGGCACTTTTTCCCCCTGAGTTATATACCTATAGCATTCCCCCCCCCCCCCTGAATTATTGAAGTAGCTATTTTTCCCCCTGAAATGTTAAATGGACATATTTACCCTTAAAATAAATAATTCATTTATTTTTTTTCTCCAACAAATTATGACCATAATTTGGTTCAAACCAAACAAACACTATAGCAACCAAACCGAAATATTTCAATTACAATTTTGAATCGAAACCCGATATTTAGAGTTTATTAAAATCGTGAACCGGAACGGACTGTTCATGTTCCGAACAAAAAAAATAAAATACCTTTATTGTTGAATTTAGACTATTTTAAAATAAAAACTAAAATTTTAAAATAAAGAGAGTTCAAAATCGCGAACCGGATCCGGAACCGCCGGTTTACGGTTCAAGATTCAAATTTTTTATACATAATTTTAATAAATTGACATCTAAATATTGGGTTTTAAATCTGAATCATAACCGGATACTTTTAATTCGATTGCTTTAGTGTCCGGTTCAGTTCAAACAGAACCGTGGTCATCCCTATGTATACGCAATAATTTGTTGGAGAAGTAAAATAAATAAAATGTTTACTTTAAGGATACAAATGTCAATTTAATATATCAGGGGGAAAAAGCACCACTTTTAGAATAATTGAGGGAATTAATGTGCTTACCTAAATAATTGAGGGGAAAAAAGTGCTATATGTATATAACTCAGGGAGAAAAAGTGTCATTTTCTCTAAAAATAAATAATAAATATTTTTGAAAAAATATATAATGTTTGACTACATTTAATAAAAATAGTGCAAATAATATTTTTTTTTATTTGCACCACTTATAAAACTATTACACTTATTAAATAAGTAATATAAATAGTAAATAAGGTGGTGTAAATAGAATTTTCCAACATAATCCAGTGTTCCAATTGGATCATAAATTTTACTTTAGATTTGTTCCTAATCACGAACTTTGAGGGTTTGAATTAAGTTAATTGTGTGTGAAAATATACAATTTGGTGTTAAGTTGTGAAAGCAAACGAAAATGCAAAATTTTTGACGTGACAGCATTCTCATGCTAACTGCCAGACGACTTAGAGCATCCACATTGGTTGGGAAGAATGGGGAGATAATGTAAGAGTGATTAGGAAAGAGAGTGTGGGAGAGGAGAGAAAAAAAAAAGAAAAAACAAAACAAAAAAGAAAATTAAAAAAAAAGAAAGTAGTCAGACACGTCAGGCGCGCCTGACGCGCCTCCGGGCGCGTGCAGTGCACGCGCCCGGCTTTTGCCCAAGGCTGTGCGCGAACGCGCACAGCCTTGCTTCTTCTTCTTTTTTTTTTTTTTTTTTTTTTTTTTTTTTTTTTTTTTTTTTCTGACAATCTCCCTACATTTGCAGGGAGATTATTTTTCAATTATCTCATGTCCACACTAGCTATTATCTCATGAAGGGAAGATTTAATTCTGAATTCTCCCCACAATATCCACAAGTGTGGATGCTCTTACCGTAAGCCAAGGGTCTGCATCTGCATGACAACATGAGTTGACTGTGCCTTAAATTTGATGGGCCCACCCATGTTATTGGACTTGTCTTTTATTTTTCAAGTAAGGTGCCGTTTGGTTTGATATTAAAACTTGGAAAATTTGTAATTTATATCTTTTACAAATATGTCAATAATCAATGTCATTCATGATTATTAATGATGTAAATATTTTTTCTCAATTTTTAAAACATGACATATATTGTTCCTCTTTTAAATTATAAGTAGTGTAAATGTAATTATTCGTCGTTTTCCTTGTTTGAAGGTCACGTTTTTTATTTTTCAATTTTTTTTTTAATTATCATTTGTTCTTTTTCCACCAAAAATAATGTTTCTCCTTCTTCCTATTAGGAGAGTGACAATATATATCATATTTTAAAAATCAAGAGGCAATATTTACATTACTAATAATTCATGGGTGACATTAATAATTGACATATTTGTGAGTAACATAAATTACAATTTTCTCTTAAAACTTTGAAAAATAAATAATTAAGGGGGGTGTATTCAATCATGACTTTCATAGAGTTTTAAAGACTTTTATGAACTTTAAAAGTTTGGGGGTATTCAATTCAAACTTTTAGAGAGTCTTTAAAAGTCAGGCGGTATTCAATCAAGATTTTTAAAGAGTCTTTAAAAGTCGTGTGATATTCGATTAAGACTTTTATAGAGTCTTTAAAAGTCATGTGGTATTCAAAAAGTTATGAACTTTTGTAGACTTTTTAATTTTAAGACTTTTGTAAACTTTTCCTTCTCAAATATAAATAGTTGAAATCCAACCATCAACCCCAAGATTTCAAAATTTTCTTTCTAACAACTTTGAATGTTTTCTCTCTACTTAAACTCTAATTTTCTCCCTATTTAAACTTTATAAACCTATCTAAATTTAATAAAATTATTTTTTTCTTCATTATCCCATATTTTCCTCATACCTAAAACTCTACCAATTTTTTCTCTCTCCTAATCTTTACAATCTTCCTCTAAAAATTCGAAATAATATTATTTTTACTTCATTATTGCTTGTTTATATTGATTTTTATTTTTTCAATGAATTTTTTATCCCTAACTTTCTCTAATTCTCCCTAAATACACGAACGTAACAAAGCAAAATTTTCATCACCAAATTTTAGTATATGTTTCATAATATTCATATAAATACTTATATATTTTGATTTTTTTTTATGTTTATATTCGTAATATATATTTTTTCCTATTTTTAACAAGTTCCCAGGAATAGCGAACTACTGTTCGCAACAGCAATTTGGGGTTGCAAACAGTAGCACCTTCTTGTTGTTCGGAGTCTCTTATTGCAAATAATAGTTCTTTGCGTGATGCCTAGCAATATATCAAGTATAATTATATATATATATATATATATATATGTATATATTATAAATATTTAATTTTTATTTTATTTTATCCAACTTGTAATTATATTTTTAAATATTTTATTTGATCACTTCTTTTATTATAAATTTTATTATTAATATTGTTATGAATTTCTAATGAAATAATTTTTTTTATGTTTATTAATAATATATATAAGTAATTAGCATATAAGTCTCAACCTACATACTATGGAGATAAATAATAATGTTGATGTGGGTGAAGAACTATATAATAAGAAAATTTTATGATATATTATAAATGTTTTGTAAGAAAATTATATAAATGATAAAAATCAAAATCATTGAAAGTTTGTAAGGATGTATTCAATTTAGAATTCTAATGACTTTTGTACACTTTTTAAAATAAAAAGTTGATAAAAGTCTATGAATGTTTTTTATATAGACTTTTATAGAGTCTTATAAAATTTTAAAAAGTTTTAAACGATTCTATGATAGTCAATTAAAGTTTATTAAGATCTATCATTTTAAAAGTCTTTAAAACTCTGCAAAAGTCATGATTGAATACACCCCCCTAAGGATCAAATCAATCTCTAATTTTCTTTTGGACTAAAGTACAAATAAGTCACTAAATTATTTGGGAAAGAGCAATTAAGCCACCAAACTCAAATAACCTCAAAATAAGCCATTGAACCCAGGAAAAAAGAGCAATTAACATTTTTAACATGTTAACTCCCAGGTTTTTACCGCATATTATGCCGTGGAAACGTGTTCACCATGCGCATGGTGAACATAGGGGTAGATCCATAATTTCTATGCTATAGAAATTATGAATCTACAGTATAGAAATTATGAATCTACAGTACGTTATAGAAATTCTGAATCTACAGTATAGAAATTATGGAGATCCATAATTTTTATGTTGTAGATCCATAATTATTATGGATCTATCCCATGTTCACCATGCTCATGGTAAACACTGTTCCACAGCATAACTATTGGGTTTTTACGGACTAGATTTACAAATGTTTATTTTATTTACGTTCTTTTTATTATAATCCTTCTACATAGTAACATATTTTAAATTAATTATAATCAAAATAGTTTTGTCTTGTCTTAGATCTAATTTATTTATTTTTACTATTTTGTAAACAGAAGATCCAGTGAAAAAATAATAATAATTAAATAAATTAATTAAATATCGACAAGACAAAACTATTTTGATTATAATTATTTTAAAATATATTACTATGTAAGTGGATTATAATAAAAGAAGCGTAAATAAGATAAATATTTGACAATTCAGTCAACAAAAACTTAGAGTTACCAAAATGTTAATTGCTATTTTTTTCTGAGTTCAATGGCTTATTTGTTCTTTTTTTTTTTTCCGAGTTCAATGACTTATTTGAGGGTTATTTGAGTTTGATGACTTAATTGTTGTTTCCCATATAGTTCAGTGTCTTATTTGTACTTTATTCCTTTTCTTTTTGAAAAGTATAATTGAACTCCCAATTTTATTTATTTTTAAATAAACACTCCAACTTTACAATATTTGCATTTCAACTCATTTTATCAATAAACAGTTGATAGTCCTTACAAGATTTACAATATGACAAATTTTTGGTGACATGCATCATACATGACATCCATGTAAGTAATTTAAACAACAAATTGTAAAAAGAATATGGAAAAAAATACAGAGTTGTATTTTCAGTTATTGAGTTATACCCTTACAACTTGTTTGGTTTATGAAAAAAGTTAAGAAGACATTGGATTCAAATAAAAAATAATTTAAAATATTTATTTCATTATTTGGTTCAGTAAGAAATAAGATATGTGAAGTCAATATATGAATTCATGTTATATATTTATTTTAAAAAAATGAAAAATAAAATATCTAAAAATATTGATGAATTTATTTTCTTCAAATTTAAAGAATTTATTTTCTACATTGCATGTTTTGGTTCATCATATATAAGTATTAAGTTACTCAGTATCTAACACAAACAATATTATAAATTCAAAAATAATTATGAACAGAACAACGAAAGTACCGAATCTCATAATTCTTATGTCTCCAAAGAAATAAATAAATAAATAAAACACATTATTTCGAACCATAGACTAGTCTTTGTTATTCCTTTGATATAAAACACAATGTAGTCCAACCACTACTAAAAAGAAGAATAATCACTGTCCCCTAACGTGTTCTTTCCTAACTAATAACACTGCAATTTGCTAATTTTTTATTCTCGAATTGAAATACTTAAATGGAGCAATCGTGTCACCCCAACATTATTGATAATAATAAAGTAATTAATGAAAACTAATTTAGTATTAGACCATAATAATAATACTTTATGGCGCTAATTAATCATCGGATTAAATTATTTCCGTCCAAACTTTTAGACCAAACAAACGTCGCTTTTCGCAGGATGCTTTATGCTTTCCGCCGTTCATTTTTTTTTTTTTTTTTTTCCATATAACAAATGTTATCATCGCATTAGCAAATGGTTGAATTTGCAGTCATAATCACGACAAGTACCGCCCATGAACCACCTTAATTAGGATTTATTTTAGGGACAATATAATGTCACATCTACATGTTTAATAATGTTTTTCCTAAGCTATTTGTGTTCACTCATTAATTGTATCTGCCGATAGAATGGATACTTCCATTACTTAGAACCTCATCCCTTATTCGTTATCAAATTAAAATATCTTAACATGTCAAACACGCAAGGTTGTATAGCTTCTACTAGATTGTACCGATATCTTATCAAGTTGGATTTATTAATAACAATAAATCTGACCCTAATTAAATGGTCTTACACTAATTACTGTTACATCATCTCATATTGTTTCTTTCATCCCACTGTAACCTCATTACAAATTACGGAGTATTTATTTTATAACTCCGTAATTTAATTTTACATTAAAAATTGAACCTGACTCATTGGGCATGAATATATGTCAAAGCCCTTACCCATATCGGTTGGTGAAAAGAAAAAACAATAATAAGCTTGACTCCTTATAGTCCTTTATGTTTCTGTTCTGTTTACTCTGTTTTATTTTTACATTTTCTGTTACTATTTATTAGTCAAACAAACTTTTATTTTTTCAATTGTTTTCCTTAACATTTTAATAATTTAAAATGTAAATTTTTATATTAATAGTTCTTTTGCAGTAATTTTCACATATATAATATTGTATACTAACACTAAATTAAATACAAAAAAAAAATAAATTATAATTAATTTGACTCAATTCTCATCCATCAAATTTGACATATAAAATGTGACACAATAAATGAACAAGTTAATTTACTTAGTGAGATTTGATAAGAAACTCAATTCCATATTGGTCAAAGCACAATGTTCATAGAAAAAAGAAGAAGAAAACCTCAATAACTTAATCAACCAAGAGTCCAAGATTGTATGATTGCAATCCGGAAATGTTTGACTTCCTCAACTTATATGAGGTTTGACAAAGTTTTAATGATTTGTAATCATGGGAAAAAACAATTGCCCACGAATTTGCACCTATTTACACTTTCTATCCCTCACTAAAAAATTGGAAAATAAATATACATAAAAATCTATAATTAATTAATTATAAATCGTTTATCAAATCCACGACAACAACGCTAACGTTATCAGCGGTGTGTCGTGCCAACGCCAGCTTCGTCAATAGGATTGAGGCATCAGAGCAGGCCTTGTCGGAGCTCTCCCCGGAGGATGGCGTCACGGAGACGTCATTTCCTGACAACGGCAACGGCGACGGAGGTTTCCTGTGCTGGAGACACATGCGGGCAACGCCGCAGGCTGTCTCGTTCGACACGACATCCCAAAGCCCATCGCTTGCGAGTATCAGAAACTCGTCCTCCGCCGTCCTTTTCGTAATCGTTATCTCCGGCTCCGATATAACGTACGGCTTCAAATAATTGTCACCTGAAAAAACCACCGAACGTTTACAACAATCATTAGGCCAAGAAAAAGGGAAAAAAGGATATGAAAAAGAAAAGAAAAATGAGTGTAAATAAACGCACCGATGGCTCGAGACATTGCCAGGACTCCGAGAACTCTGGGTCCATCCCAGTATATAACACGACCGCCGGCTTCTTCAATCCGGTTCAGTTCATCCGGCCGATCAGGCTACAACACAAAATTTTAACATAATTTAATAAATGCAAAATAGTTTACTTTTCGACAATTCTAGCTGAGTTAGTCGAATAATTAGTTTAGTATCATCAATGCTCCAAATTCAATTATGGCCTATTGAATTAAGGATAGGTTCAGCCAGCACGGACTTAATTCAATGGCAATAGACAGTATTTACAAGAAACGATCAAAATTCAAAATTTAACAATGACAATATAGAGATTTTGTCCAAAATGAACATATCCTTATACACAATTACATATGGTTATCATAATTTACTTCCCCTCACGTGCTCGGTCGGGCCACAGGAGCATTGAGGGCTTTTATGATTTTAAATGTTGATTTACTGCTTTATAATTTTTTACTAACTAGAATTAGAACACGAAATTCATCCAATGCATACTAAATTTGTCAAATTGTAACTATAAAGTTGTAATTTATTTCCTTAGGAGCATTTACCCGCTAGGATTATAATCCAAAATTTACCTAGTATACTAAAAAAAAAAATAATTTACTTCCTGTAAAGTTAATTGATACGTTAGATAGGGGGGTACCTTGTGGTCGACGGAGAGGGGGATAGCGACGCCATTCCGGCAAAGAACAGCGCGGGAGTCGCCGCAGTTGGATACGATAATATGGTCTGGTGTCACAACGGCGGCGACGGCGGTGGATCCGACAGCGTCACACTGGGGAGTCTGGAACTCGCACCGGCAAACGGAGCTTGGGACGGCGACAGCGGCGGCTCCGTTAGACAGCTCGGTGATTTCCTGATCCATTTTAGAGAAGCTCCGGGACATAATCTCCTGCCACGTGGAGTCTCCTTTCTCCATCTCGTCTCTCACTATCTGGTGCATCCGATCTCTGCACCTCATCGCAACCTGCGAGAAACCAGAGGTCCAGATTAGCAAATTTAAGGTTACAGAAAGTTGGGTGGTTTTGATGTGTGGGGAAAACTTACGTGCGAGCAACCATGGCCATCGTACACGCCGAAAAAGTGCATATTCCTAGAATTTTCTAGGGTTTTCCGGCTAAAACAGGGATGAGCTGCAACCGCATCTTCCATATCTCTTCTCCGTCCACACACTGACGTCATGCCGAATTTCGGACAATCCGAACCAAAATCCCGCTCGGCTTCCGGCCGATCCTCAGCCTCTGTTCTCTCGATAAGATTTTGTTCACTCCTCTGAACTTTCTCGTCATAAGCCTTTCGTCGCTTCACACTCGTCTCCGGCGGCGAGGGAGCTCTTTGCCTCTTCAATCCGCCGTCGAGCGGCGGCGGCGCCATGGCGGTGTCGGAGGCGAGCAATCGGAACCGGTGAATTTCCATGCGGCGGCGTCTGGCGGCCTCAGAACTGGGCTCAACCGGAGTACTAGTCTTCGTTTCGCATCCTCGCACGGCAGCCATTGAAGAACAAACACAAAAAAATAAAAAAACTTCAACCTCGAATCTTTCTTCAAACCAGAAGGATTAAACTCCAGAAGAATTGAAATGAGAGGTCCCGGGAGGGGGTGGGTGGGTGGGAATGAAATAGAGGGAGGAGAGAAGGTGGGGGGCAAGTGACCGTCACCGTCCAGGGCAGAGATGGACACGTTAAGGTGGTGTGACGTAAGAGCAGTGAATACAATAAAGCAGATCTCTACCGTCCAAACCCATTATTATTGTGATATTTCCGTGAGAATTTTAAAAGCCTGACACGTGGAGAGAGTATGTTGGGTAAATTGTACTTGCACCAATCACAATGAAACGACTTTTCCTTCACTGACACGCATGTGATTCCACAAATTCTTATGTAATTTTTTTTTTTTAAACTACTTGCACTCCAAAAACATACTCCGTATTTCTAACTTTTACTCTCATTAAAAGTTGTTTAATCCGTGAAAACTATTTGAGAGGAAATATAACTGAAATTTCATGAAAAAAATTATTGAAATATTGATTCTATTGTTTGGTTAGGGTTGAAATGTTAAGGTATAATAACTAATATAAAGACTAAAATGTCACTACACAATAGTAATGATAATAAAAAAAAATAGGAATGATAATGAAAGTAATAAAGGTAAAATTGTTCAACCATTACTTTCTTTCCTACATCTATGGAAAACAAAATATCACCCCCTCTCCTTAGAAAACTTTTTCCTCAAAATTAAGGAAAATATTTTTCAGTGGAAAAATTTTTAATGAACCAAACGGAAAGAAAATTTCATTTCCCTCAAATTGAAGGAAAACTTTTTTCATCCAACCAAAGATGCTCTTAAGTCTTAAGGGGGCGTTTGGTTCAGGTCATCTTAGATTACCTAGGTAATCTGAGTCCGGTAATGTTATATTATCTTATTTGGTTCAAGTTATGAGATTACCTGGTAGTGTTATATTACATGAAAGCTGATGTGGCGGTAATGTTTCAAGGTAATGTGATTACCCCCCATTTTCTTAGGTAATCTTAGATTACCTTGAATTATTCCAACTTTGCCCTTGTTAACAAATAATAATAATAATAATAATAATAATAATAATAATAATAATAATAAGAAGAAGAAGAAGAAGGAAGTAATATTACATTCCACAATCCAAACCAAACACATAAGATAATCTTATATTTCCAAAATCTCACATTACCTTTTCCGGAGGTAATTCTATTACTTGGGATAATCCAAGATTTCATGAACCAAACGCCCCCTAAGTGTTCAAAATTTATTGGTAGAAGAAAAAAAGTAATTGAGAAAAATAATGACCCCTTTTATATTAAGCAATCAAAGCATGCTATATATTAAGGAGTAAAAATGAAAGTATGTTTTCAGAAAAAAAAAAAAAAGTATAGAACCATAGTACATGTAGAATTACTTATTTCTAAATCAAAGTACTAAAATGTTTTTGTAAAACATGCCAATGTTTATGAGTTAAAACATGCCAAGGGAAAGCTATTTTCTCCCAAAACATACATATTTTCCTTTGACTAATGTATCATTTTCCATTGACATCATTTTCCCCCTTCTTGCCAAACATTGAAAACTCGGAAAACATTTTTCGGAAGTCATTTTCCAGGTTTCTAAACGCATGTTTTAAAAATTATAAATGCGATATTAAAAAAATTTACTGGTTAATGTTATTTACTTTACGAATAAAATTTTCATTTTCAAATATTTTTTAAGAGAAAATTTCAATTTTGGTCCACTGACTATTGTAGTTGTGTTAATTGTAACACTTGACTTTTAAAAATGTTAATTTAATACCTTGACTATGTAATTCTTATCAATTTTGGTCACGCCGCTCAAATTACCGGCCAAATGTGACCAGAAAATTTTAACTCATTAAATAAAAGGGACAAAAGCGTCATTTCATGTTATTCAAAACTCCTCCTGGCTTCGTTCTCCTCTTCTCCAACCTCCTTCTCGCTTCTTCTCCGATCTCTTTCTCCTCTTCGCTGCCGGCCTCCAATTCCTCTGTTGGTCCAGACCCTAATGCACCAGGCACTTCTAAAGGTTATTTTTTTTTAATTTTTTTTTATTTGATTCAAGTTCTAGCTTCCTGTAGATATTCATGTGTCTTTTCATGGTTTATAGCCCCAGGAGATGGATCTAAGTCCTTCCCTCTTCAGTTTGGGTAGTTAAATCCTATTTTCATGAATGGGATGCAGGTAAGTTCGACTTTCTTGAGCCATGAAACTTGATATTAATAAATTTCATTTTCTCTTTCGGAATTGAGGTCTTTTTTACACCATGCTTATCTTTAGGTTCCTTCTCGAACAAGCTCAGCACCGCCAAACAATTGGATGAGCATAAACGTAGCCAGGTTAGCAGTTCTTTGCTTTGTTTTGTAGTGAATAAAATATCTAATCTGCCTCTCATACAGGTTGCTGATTATTACTTAATTATTATCAACATGCATATAGGATATAGCCTGTTGTTTTCTTTGTTTTGTGTTAATTACATGTTTTGTGACAATGGTGATGATGATGCCCATGGACGTCATAACCCAAATGACCAAGAACGAGGTCGTCACCAGCTTGTTGCGGTGACCAGTGTTAGATATACAATAATCTAACTATACTGAATATTAGTATACGGGAAACCTGACCTCGTATGAGAGCGGAAGCGTAACCGTGTTGATCTCCAGTTGATGTTCCTGTTGTGTTGCCTCTTAACGGTAGACCGTTAGCCATGTTTTGCCTCAGACCTGACTCAGAACCCTAGATGGTGTATTGGTATCTACTGAGCAGTCTGAGTACAATGTGCTAACATCCAACATCCTGTATCCCATCAATCCAGGATTATATTAGGCACAGAGTTTGGTTGACTAACAACTACTAGTTATTAAGTCCAACCAGACCACTTAATAAGCCTAGTCAACTTGCACCACTTAATTAAGGCCCTAATATATAATATATAATATATATTATTAGGGAAAATCTTACATTCTCCCACTTGGTGCAAGTACTAGCACAACCTTCATCAAAGAACAAAACACACGAATCATAGTGATATGTCCTCTATTTAATCAGAATAGTATCCATTATGGTCACATGCATTTTAATTCTCCAACTTAGGTCCTTAATGAACAAACCCTATGTTTATTCTCGGTACCTTAAGGGATATTTCTCAAAATACATTATGTGCACAACTGAAGGAGAAAACACATCCAAATTGTACAAAAGAGTACACTGTATGATCTCTAAAGCTTTATAAGCATGCCTTAAGTAGAGATCTCTTCATGTTAGCATAATGCTAACTATATTCCATGACTTCTTTATAAGTTAACTTTAAGTACTATCTCTAACAGCTAAGAGCTTGGAGTTGACACGTCTGTCACTCCCACTCATCAAAAATAGCAAAAAGATAGTCAAGTCACAGAAACATTCCAAAAACTTAGACAATAAACCAAAGATCTAAGTCCATAAATTTGGAATCTTAATCATACACCACAACTTCCCAAATAACTTCAATGTCCATTTTAAATGAACTGAACATAATGAGTTTTACTTATATGTCCCACAAAATTGTTTTGAGCCTTACAACTGAAATGACCCAGGATCAATTTTGAAGAAACTAAAGACTCTATTAATCAAAGAAGAATTTATTAAATGACAGTGCACCACAAATTAAATGTTTTTGTTCTAATAAATTCCTTGGTTACAACATTTTCATAAATATGTTGCACAACCAAATGTTCAATAATTTGAACTTATATTATGAATTTATATGAACAAATACAAGATTAATATTTGTGAAATATTTTGGACTTATTGTTTGACATACAATCAAATTTAGGATGTATGAAGCCAATTAAACCCATAAACTTTAGTGGAGCATCTTAATGATCTTTTTCTAAATGATTACCCCCACTAATTAAAATATTCTTCAGCGAAATTAATAAAGTGAACTTAATAATATACGTACTCATAATTGATTTATTGACCAACTAACAAATGAAGACATAATTCCCCACCATTAGTTGGACATACTAAATAATCAATTTTTGGTTCCAATTAAAGTCCAACGAAATAATGAAGATATATTTCCCCACCATAGTTGGACATACTAAAAGAAATAAAATACATCTTTCAAAACCAAGTTTAAAATTTGGCTCAAAAGATACATTTTTTATTAATGGAATCCAAAAGATGTATGTCAAATCACGTAACTTACTACAGTTAGTCCGAAGAACCGATCAAGATTCGTGGATTAATTAATAGAAGTTGCTAAATTTTGGAAAGTGACTGAAAAACATGTTTTTCCAATGCAAACCATGAAACTTAGAATTATAATTGAACTAAATTTAGAAATTCTAAGAATTGTGATAAAATTATTATCTAATGGGTTGAGGGATTTATTGACATAAAACTTGCCTGTGGACTAAAGTTTTAATTCTATTAAATCCAATTAAGAAACCCTTATGATAATATTTTTCACAATTGCTAAAGAGCCAGAAGAATCTAGTGACATAAAACTTGCATGTGGGCTAAAGTTTTACTCAATTAGATCCAACTGAAAAATTTATTTATGATGAAACCATTATCAAATGAGTTGAAGAATCAAATGATATAAAACTTGCCTGTAGATTAAAGTTTTAGTCAATAAGATTCATTGCTATCATTATGATAAAAAACTTAAGAGATCATGTTCCTTTTCTTAATCTCTGTGGGCAAATTAAGAAATATGATCTAAAGTTTACATCATACAACTAAACTTCATGATAGAATTGGAAATTATTTACAAATAACCATAAAGTAAATAAATTGATTTATTTCTATCATCACTGACAAAACTACTAAACTACATTCCGATACATAATTGCCTGTGGGCTAAATTATGACCGTAGTCCAGTATTTCATCCTGATTAATTATACAAATATAACGAAATTGCCTGTGGGCTAAATTCCATCATATTACATACAATTAATCACAAATGATATGTCCAAAACTTTATGTGATCAAAATAAACCGCTTAATATATAATTTTAACAGATTAAGGATGCTGTGGCTACTCCCAAACCAAATTAAAATTATAAGATCACTAGACAATTATCATATTCTTGCCT